TACAGTTTGAATTTTTATCGTACGTATGAGGATAACTTTCAATATTGGATAAAAATGATGTAATTTACCTTATTGGTTTTCTTATGCATTGTGATATTTGGGGTTTGTGAAGTAGATCTTCAGTTTAACTCACATTATAAAATAGTATGGTAATCACTATACATCACTGTGAATATAATAGTAGGCCTACATGTCAAAAAAGGTGAATCCGGTTCAGGTGGTGGTGGTGTTGATGGTGATGTTGACTTATTTATTTATATATTTTTTTTTTATTTCATAACTTACATTACAAAACTAGCTCTTCAATACCCAGGGTCGTGGATTCAATTCCTGTTTCAGCAAGATTTTTTCTCAGGACTAAATAAACAACTCCACTCCCTAGGCCTTGATACGAGACTTGGTTTATTAAAGCATCGTTCCATTCTGTAAATGGCAAGTGTACTTGCTGTTGAATGTGAAGAAAAAAGTACCGGGCTTCATTTCGTCGTTATGGCCGAATAATTTTATAGACCAAGGTATTAAATACTCTACCTCATTGCTTAGACCTTCGTAGAGGAGCTGCTTAATATTCTAGTTTTGACGAGAGTTGATCAGAGATGGCACCAGGATTTGCCCAATGGGGATGGGGCCGAATTCCCCGACGGGGGGGGGGGGAGGTCCGATTCCCCCGACGAGGGTTCAGATTTCCCCGACGAAAGCAAATTGGCCGTGGTCGAAAAGGGTTTCGAAAGTGGTCCAGGGGGTAAAGCCTTCGAAAATTTTAACAATTTAGTGGTTTCAAAGGCTTATTTAATCGATTTTATAGTCTACTAATATGTAGAAAATACATATAATTGCTTTGTTCCCGACGAATTGTGCTTTTTCCCCCCGACGGGGGGGGGTGGCTCTCCCCGATGGGGAGGGGTATCTCCCCCCGCTGGCGCCACCCCTAGAGTTGATACTAGTACCCTGGGATTGGAATTCCAATTCCAGGGTATTCCACTACAATTGATACCGGTATTGATGTTGTAAATGATTGATTTTGTTATTGTTGTTGAAAAAGAAGACGAGGACGACGACAGCGATAATAATGTTTATGATAATGACGATGCCGATGACGACAATGCCGATGGTGATGATAATGATGATGATGATGATAATGATGATGATGATGACGATGATTATGACGACGACGATGATGATTTTCATAAAAATGATGATTGGTGATAATGACGTTGATAATGATTGATGATAATGATTGTGGTGTTGGTGATGGTTGTGGTGATATGTCTTTTAGAATGAGCAATTCAATATATATCATTGAATTTCTTGAATTTTTTGTATGTTATAGTCAGTATATGTTTAATATAACGTTAATTACTAGGCCCAAGTGTTCGTCAGATGACCCATTGGCGACATCCCACCCATGTAATTATATGTTGTCAAACAAATTAGAGTATTAAGTGTTGCTGTAGGCCTTGTTGCATAACTTTAGATTATTTGCATAAAGTATTGAATCAGGTTTGAAGATTTCAAATGGAAAAACAAATACTAAGCTTTTTACATTATACAAAGTAAAGTAGGTCTACGTATTGAATACGTACAATATGAATTTGTGAACGAGACGGCACGACGCGATTACGGATGCACACACACTTGCTTCTAGGTGTTATACTGAAATGTACGCGTTACAAAATAATATTGCATACACAATCGGATAATAAAAGAAGATAATATTTAATCAGAACATTCGTGATCCCAATGGGTCAACGAACGTAGACATACTGTAGAAGGTTAAAAAATAATTATTTATTTATAAGCCCATTTGTTTTTGTTTTTTTTAAATGCGTTAGTCAAAGAGATATTATACTATTTTCAACGACTCGATAATAGTTTTAAGGATAGTTGGCGATATAGATTACAATAAGGGATGGATTGTATAACTAAGTGTATACTCTGGACACTTTAACATAAAGCTGATCATTTTATCACATGTGAACTTGATAACCTCTAATAAAGTGTCCCGTAATGGTTGAGATTGGACATTTGGGAATATCGTTATCATTTTGACAGTGATATGCCAAAATAAAGTCGACCCAACAATGATATTTGTATTAAAACGTTATTAGAAATTATCAGGTCGACATGTGATACAATCGTCCCAATGGTTTTTTTTTTTTTTTCTTGGATTACCGTCGTTTTAAAAAAATATATATTTCCGGGGTATAAATGCGTTACAATTTCGTACTTCGTTTACGTAACTTGTTTAGTTAAAAGTAGAATCTACCGTAAGACCCCATGAACCACAAGTTAAATTGTAATGACGAGTATTATTTGTAAGGTGCAGCAGTAAGGTAGCTGGTGAATCAATAGTCTGCCAATGGTATTTATTTAGACCTACCGGTATATATTTACCTATACAGTACATTTTTTTAAATAAAATTTGTTTAGATATTGCACCCGTTTAAGCATGTACAAAAAATAATGGCTTCTTAGGGTCCGAAATATCTTGACTATAATTGATTAGAGCGCATGTATGGCTGCTCAAGCGACGCCATCAACGTTCAAATTGTTCAGTGTGAAATGTATAGTTGACGTCAGAGTAAATTCTGATAGGGAACAAACGTGAAAATATGTAGAGCTATTTGCGAGGAGTAATTTACATGCCTATAATAGGCCCATATTTTAATAACAGAAGGCTGAATGCACTCTATCATAATTTTTTGAGATCTTGATCCCGTGTAGGCTGCATAATCAAACTTAGAATTAGAATTAGAAAATAGAACAAAACTTTACAAGGAAAAAAAAACTTGTTTGGCTTGGTAAATAGTACTACACCAGACAATAGTACAAAAAGCAATATAAAATAGATCTATATAAACAATATATCTAATTATTATGACTAATTCATACCGGTGCCACAGGGATGCTTGTCCCCTATTGAATTTGGCCTGCAGTTTGTATTTTAAGTTCTAGTCTAGTGAGTGCTGCTCGTTCCAGGCCAAATTTCGCCGAGGGAGGTGAAGTCAAACGGGAAGTAACTCAACAATTACAAGATGGAATGATGCTTTTACCTGGTAGGTCCATTTATGAGGCTTCATAGAGCGGAAAACAAACACTCTGTCACATGCTGTGACAGGATTTGAACACAAGACCCTGACATTGGAAGGCAAACACCTTATTCTTACCTCACCGTGGAGGAATCACCAAACCATTCTTGCTTGACTCATTATTTCAGCGTCTATTAGCTATGAAGAATTACTACTACCACATAAGAACACTTTTTTTCATACAACTTAAGAAGGAACTTTATATTATTTTTTTTATTGTTTATTACTCTTAAACATGATATAACAGTAAACTTATTATACAATAACATTGATAGGACTAAAGCGCCTACAGTCAAATCGTATTTAATATTCTATGGATGAAACCGTACAAAGGTTGGGAGCGTAAACACGTGAGAAACATATCCTGAAAACATTCCTCTTTCGATTAATTGAAACGAAGTTCCTTAAAGGCGTATCGTGATATAATCTATTCATACATTCACGAACAAGTTGCAAAGCGAGAATATCGATAACAATTAATTACATTTTAGTGTCTGGATTTTCAGATACTATCTGAGGAATTTTACTGTAAAGTACATTCGTCATACATTCGTGAATGAAAATGGTGGTGGTGATGATGACAACGATAATGATGAGGATGTTGATGATCACGACGTTGACAATGAAGAATTGTTGATTATGACGATGATGATTGTATGATAATAGTAATAATACAAATGAAATGTCAGTCTTATTCATGATTTCATTTTATTCAAATTAAATTCGCACTTATGCGAATGAATTGAATGACATTTGCAAGTACTGTATACACAATTTTAGGCTAGTCTTCTTAAAAAGAACTAACAGATTAAAACAGAAAACAAAATCTTAATTTAAATTTTAAAAATATAAATTAAATGTACGGTACATTACACAAATATTACTTGGCGCATAATGCCAAACTTTATGAATTCACATAACTACAGTACATCGGTTATAGGATATACCGTACAAATCTGCATAGTCGGCTCACTTGCTGGTGGAGAATGTTTATAATGTTGCAGCTAGCCATTGGCAATTACCTGCAAAAGACACTTTCGTGGGCGGAGGGAGGTATATATGTATTGCCCTAGGACAAGTTGATAGCTTCTGACTCGAACCTCTCATCTGTCTATTGGTAGCCTACCGCCACATGCTCCTTACTGAAATCAAGAACATTCGATTGAATATTCAAATTACAACCTGATATATTCTAATTCACAAAAAGTATAATCTGTATTTGTCAGTAGATTCATATAGATTGAAATATTTTGAAAGAAGAGAAAAGATAATTTTAGTTATTTATTCGAACAATACACATTCACGATGGGTACAATACAATTCTGTTGACCCGCAACTGATTGTGCAGCTTTACCATGCGAAGAGACAATACCCATTTTTTCAGATAGTGAACTCACTTTTTTTTATCATCATAATCATCATCGACGTCGTTGTCACTATTATTATCATCATCACTATTGTTATTGTTGCTGATGTTGTTTTGGTTAATGAGCATTTTCGGCGTCAGTATGGTCTGTAAGTCTCAAAAGGCTAAGCAGTTTTTGAGACAATACTGGCCTACTGTTTTTAAATAATAAAAAAGTAATCATTTACATTAAGTATAATCGCATATTGCGCATTTGAATCAAGTATACATATAACTAATATTAATTTAAAATTTGTCACCATCATAGTGATGATAGTTTTTTTTCCCTCGACAACAGCACCAGGCAGAGCATGTTTTCTATTTCTGCCGTTACTAGGAAACCATCGACAAGTCTGTTTATAATGACACTTATATTGTTTGTTGTGTATATTACGCTTATTAGGGTTGCCCTTTCGGCTAAAACTAGCATTTTCTCCGCGGTTCTGATTGATTTCGGCATGTGGCATTCACCGTGTAATAATCGATGAATTTTCATTCCTTTGCAGCTCACGTGACTGAAGCAGACGATCGGATCGGCGTCTACAAGAGTTGGAGAGGTGAAAGAGCAATCAGAATCACATTGACTCGTCACTAAGTAAGAAAAATTCCATCGCCGACGTAGAAGTGACATTTACAGACTCAGAATCATTGATGTTCACTACATCTTTGAGTGGTAATCAAAATGGCGGGACCTACCGAAACGTCCGTTACCATGACGCTCAATTCTACCATTCCAAGCACTGAAGGGACAGTCGAGAAAGTCTTTACAATCGTGTTTCCGACGGTCATATTTTTGATCGCCGTCGTTGGAATCTTTGGTAATGCGCTCGTTATTTTTGTCGTTGCTAAACATCGTGATATGCACAACGTTACGAATTATTTCATCGCTAACTTGTCTGTGACAGATATTGCGTTGCTGGTCATCTGTGCTATCCCTACAGGAGCAAACATTTGCGGATGGCAGATAAACATTTTCTCCTGTAAAATCGTCACCTACATGCAATTCGTAAGTACCAATTTAACAAATAAATATGCATGCATTAATCGATCGTGTGCTCGAAACAAGGTATATAGCATGCGTAGTACACTGGTACAGTTTTGGAGGCATATTTACGCGCGTGACCCTGACGCACAACTAGACAGAAATTTAACAAAGTCTTGTGTCGTGTACGTTTGTTAATGTTTCCCAATACATTTTCTGTCATTTTTATCTTTGCATGTTTTTATTTTATTTTTTTCCCCGGTAATCTTTAGGCCGAATAAATGAATGAATGAATGCACTTACGCTGTAATACGCGCGTAATACGAGTACGCACGATTTATATTACCCACAATTCATTTTCGTACGTGTTGACACATCATGCATATGATCTATTATTTTGCTCATTTTTTTATTCATTTTTATAGTATCTGTAATTCGATCACCGTGTGATCGATGCTCAATTTTTGGATTGATTTGTAAAAAGTCTTGTTTTATTAAATTCTTATCGTATTGAATTATTTTATAATTCATTACAACTTTTTTCAAATTTTCGATCATTTAACACAAAGCTTATCTTCTAATTGGAGACCAAATCGCGAGACCAGGCCTAAGAAAGTCCCAATGATGATCTCGAATACATGAAATAAATAATTTCGGATAAATTTAATACCGATACGTGAATATAATAAACTTGAGTATTAAAACAAAAATTGCTTACTTTCAATGTTATAATAACTGTAACATTTCATCTCAGAAAACATTTCCCTTAAATAACATTAATTAGCGGGGTTTTTTTCTCCAACAGTCTTAAATTGGGACGCAAACACTATAATTTAACAATTTATTCAAAACTGTCAAATACCTGTTAATAATATTGTTATTATAAATATTGTTGTTAACAATATCAATATTACTATCAGGTTTTCGTATTGTTATGAAAAATAACTAATAATTGGTGTTGTTAGAGTAATCATATTAAAGGCCTACTCAGGCCATTGATAGAATGCATTAACGAAATCGGAAAAAAATGTTATCAGGAAAATTTTTTTATCTATTTAACATCCAGGGTTGTATACAGTTAAATTTATGACTATGAGAGAAGGTGTTGATTTCATTTTAGTCATTAAAAACCCCTATTGTTTACTGGGTCGAGAACCCTAAGACAATAATTTTAACCACCAAGCTATGTACAATGCCTCTTTTCATACCTGTAAAGTCATACATTTCTTGAGCGTCATGTTGGGAGAATCATCTATTTGAGCAATGTAGCTACGACTCATGGCTTAAGCAAATCTAATTATATCTGCTCACACCTTGATTTGTACAACAAACGGCGAATGTGTCAGTAATGATACAGACAGTGAATGCAAACAATCTTCTTTCATTAGTCAATGAATCGCTTTTAATAAGAGCGGCGGTACATCTGACACGTGGTGTACACAGCACGTGTTACACACAATTGCCCATGCGTATTAAATTAGTTCCATTTTCAATTTCATCAACTCAAATCTATTCTGTTAATGATACCTAGGCCACACATATATCTTATTAGATTTGCCAATAAAGTAATAGGAAGGTGAACACATGTTGTAATAAGTATGAAATAATAAAAGTTATTATCGATATTTATTACACTGTTGGATTATTATTATTATTATTATTATTATCATTATTAATATTATTACTACTATTATCATCATCATTACCATCATCTTCGTCGTATATAGCATATGTATTTATGTAACGAAATAAAGGAATGGAAGTGAACTGATTTGAATCTTCTACCGAAACACGATAATGAAAGAAAAGCTATAGGCCTACTGTATGTCTTTTAGTATGAGCAGTGATGCTTATATGTAACAATTTACTACAAACCTTTCGTAAAGGTTTGATATTTTATGCAATTCTATTGTTTATTTTTGTCTTCAAATTTGCAAATTTAAAATTGAATATTAGGCCGCAACTTCCTTGTCTCATCCATTTGGATGGAGTGTAATGCAACTATATTTTCATGGTACAGAATCTCAAGCTAGGTTGGCAATACAACATCGATTATCGGCAACAGATCTTTCACTCTTGCAACTACTATTCTCTGGAACTCTCTCACCATTACATCTTCTTCGACATATCCACCTTCAAAGCTAACAAACATACATTCCTTTTTAACTTTTAGTCATAGCGCATTTGATTTTAACATTGTTTTATAATTTGCGTTATAAGAATTGACAAATATTATTATTATTATTTATTATTATTATTATTATTATTATTATTGCTATTATTATTATTATTATTACTATTATTATTATTATTATTATTATTATTATTTATTAATATTATTATAAATTCGAGTTAGATTTGGATGGAATGTAATGCAACTATATTTTCATGGTACAGAATCTCAAGCTGGGTTGGCAATACAACATTGATTATCGGCAACAGATCTTGCAACTACTATTCTCTGGAACTCTCTCACCATTACATCTTCTTCGACATATCCACCTTCAAAGCTAACAAACATACATTCCTTTTTAACTTTTAGTCATAGCGCATTTGATTTTAACATTGTTTTATAATTTGCGTTATAAGAATTGACAAATATTATTATTATTATTTATTATTATTATTATTATTATTATTATTGCTATTATTATTATTATTATTATTA